TATTTGCATTTATACATTAAATTGAATTAGTTGAATTTATTTTCGTGTTTGTTAATAATTTAGCAATTGCAGTAAACTCTATATGCAGCTGTACAATGTTATAATTTTTCCTCAATCAGATCAGAAAAGCTCTTTGCCAGTTAATTCAACATAATTTGGTGAAATGTCAAAAGAATCAAAGAGGTTTCATCACATACACTGGACAACTTTCAAACATTTTGCCATCATGTATTATCCATGATTTATACAAAGGCAAAATGTTATTTGGTGATGTGGCAGAGCTGATTGTCGAGCAACTTCTGTTACATGGTTGGATGACAATGACATCAGTTGTTACTCGTGTTACACAACGGTTACATGATCCTCAGGCTGAAGCATCAGTTGCCATAAACGAATATCAGGTTTCTGAACAGTTCGCCAACATGGCTAGCATGCATTTGGTTCAACGTTCAACTCTAGAAAGCATTGATCCCAGCAAGGCTCCTCCAAATGAGAGTGAAAAATATCAGTTGCCGAGAGCATACACACCCACAGGTATGTTACTGGTGACTATTTCTTGTGATATTTTGTTGCTGACATTTTTGTAGAAAAACTTCCTCAAAAATATTTTGTTGATAATGAATAAAGTGTGTTGGGATTACCAGACATCCAGGGGGTGTTTGTGTTGGAAGATTGATAGTTGACATTTCAATACTTTAGAGTCTCAAAAGTAGTCGTAAACCTACTTTTGAATTCATGACCTCAAGGGCGGTTACTTTAGGGAAGGGCTGTGCCACAGAATAATTATTATACCGAACGTTCACTTGTGTTGGAACTATTGATGTTTTGTCCTCGCACTTATTGTGCCCTGCATATCAGATATTTAGGGTTTTCATTGTTCCCACCCTTACAATGATCCAAAGTCATATCTTAAGTCAAAAGTGAAGTCTCCAGTTCATTGACATCATGTAATTTTAATGGTTGGAAACCAGTGACAAACCCATTGAACTAAATACATGGAACACTACCTGAAGCAAATAATTGAAGCCAAATTTTACCCCCAGACACGAGATTGACCCAGACACGCGTGTTTAGTTGTAATCTCGCGTGTCTGGGTGTGAAATTTGGCTTCAAAACATTTTTTGGCTTTTCTATTACAGGAAGTGATCCATGTATTATAGGTCAATGGACCAACCTTAATCAACTGGCTGGAATAATGGCCGATGTGAGGACGTATCGCAATCCTGGGTGACCATTCTGTATAATCATTATTCTGTGGTGGCGCTTAGTTTCGTAAGGTCCTTTGTTTTGCGGTAACTTTCGGGGAGGTAATTTTGAAACTCCAGGATATATATTCATATTGTGTAATCCGTAATCACAATAAGTTTCTATGAAAAACATAGAGAGGACTGTAGAAAGTAGAACATACATATGTGAACATGGACTACCTCAATTATCAATAATCCCCCCCCTTCCTGAGGGTGGCGATTTAAACAGTTCAAGGTTATTTTTTAAGCGTGTGTACTCATGGATTGTCATTATTTATTATTTAGTGTCGGCATCACATAGAAGAAAGGCTTCCTTTAACAAGTAAGTGTTGGTTGCTCGAAATGAATTGTGTTTGAACAAAATGTAAAGAATTTTCACTCATGCAACAAAAAATTAATTCTTCAACCATAATTTGGTGTTTCTGTCTTGTCCTGCGGTTATGTCGCGAGATTACACAAATCACGCGTGACTGACACGAAATCCTTTAACCAATCAAAATCTTTCTTGTATCGTTTCACGCGTGAGAGTCACTAATGACGTGTACAATGAAGCATGATTTGCTTACATAATATATTGCCACCTAGGATATTGCATTACCGTGAATTTCGTTGTGTTGTTTAACTATTATAATACGCAAATGTATTTGTTTAACCCAACACTGTTTTTGAGTAGCCCGAGTGAACGCTTGATAGACGTTTTGTAACTATAAAAATAGGTTCATTCATTTTGTAAATGGGGTATGTCACAAATGTTCGAAAAAACAAGTGACTGGCGCGAATCACTTCATTAGGCATGATGTTACACTGGCAGCTGAATTTATTATTTTACCAAATTCGTTAGAAGTACCTCGTTTTTGTAGATAAAATTTGCGCTCTGCAACCCGGCTCAAAATGTAGCGCTACGCCCTGCCTTTAACCAATAATAGGAAGCTTTAGCAAGAGTACGACTACGACAACGAGTACGAAATTTGACCGTGTAAGGGAATGGCACGAGGAAGTTTGTTGTCGCTGTCGCTTCGTCAAATTTTTTAGCTGTAAACAACAGAACGAACCTTTTATTGTGAAACCACCGACGTTTGCGAAGTAGCTACGGCTTTATTTGTCAATAACGATATCAACAAATCGGTGATACTGGTTTTGCAAAAATATAGGACTCTTTAGACTGAAAAATCTTCACTATTTTAAATTTTATGTACGATATATTTGTACTACTTTATTGTTTGTTTACCTTTCACTTTGCGTACGAAATACATGAAAGTTTTGCAGGTCATATTTTCCTTTTTAATGTACATCTGCGCTAAAAAAGGTTCTAAATTAAAGCCTGGATGCTCGAAAATAGTACTGTAAACTAATTTCTTACAGAATGAAGAAATATACCTACTTTCTTTGCTTAAAAAGACATCGTAGTCGCGACTACGAATTTTTTACAAAATATCGTACTCAGATTGGTGACGGCTTCGTGTTTTGTTGTCGCAACAATGTTTTGCATCAAAACGACGTAAATCGTAGTCTTTGCTAAAGCTCCTAATAATCTTCCTTGGACTGTGCCATTCGTGGATGTCACTCATACAACGTGTTTAAGATGTGAAAATTATTTTTCTGTGAAAAGTTTTTTCGAATGTGAACTTGTTGTAGTTGAGATGGGCCTTGTGAATTTCTGCAACATACCTGAGAATTACACACGCCATTTAATGATATGCAGTCACGTTCATTTACTAATAAGTTTTTACAAGTGTAAAACACAGATCGCTAGGCCGATCGATAGTCGTCATGTTTTGCTTACGATTTAGACTTCCATGCGGTTGCTTTTAGCATGTGATTAATTTTGCTTATCTTAATGGCCAATTACTTCATCTAATGAACGAATATGGTTATTTGTGGTTATCTTAGTGGTCAATCAGGCCGTGTTATTGGTTACCTTATTGACCAATCACAACATCGAATGAATATATAAAATTATTTGTGGTTATTGTATGGTCGTTCAGCTTTTTCATTCTGATAACATCATTAAGTTGTGCCATTAAATTCCTTATCTCATTTTGTCGGACAATAAACATAGATAAACTTAAAAAGTGGCTAATGCAATGTACGAGCAGTAATTTTTAATTGTCTGGGTAGCTCTTAAACGTGCTCATTCAAGATAAAATATTTCCTAAACTCAGCAAACGCCGAGTGAATTTGTTAAGGCTCGTTTCCATATACGAAAATCTCCCGTGGAATGAAAAATTTCCGCGATATCTTTTCTCCCAGCAATGATTTCCATTTTCCATTCATGCCAATGTGGAAATTGGAAATATAGCGGCCTTAAATAGACGTATACTACTTCTATTACTGTTGAGAAACCGCTACTACACAAGGTTAGACAAACAAAATAAATACAGGAAAAGTATGTGGTAAGACGAATATTTGCTGAGAAAACAACTAACGGGGAATTTGCCACTTTTGTATGAGAAATAAACTTGTAAACAACAAATACTTTTCAAACCATTTTGTATTACTTTATGCTAATTGTTTTTAACATCTATGTCCTGCACAGGACTAAATACACAAAGTTGTAAAATTTCGACTTGAAAAATATTAAATATTTTTCCACTGAAAAATTTGATCGCATCTCTCGCATTACTTAACGCATGCGCAACCTGGAAAATTATACTTTCCGTGGAAAATTTTCTTATGTGGAAACGGGCCTTAACATCGATTTCATTCTATTGTGTTTTTTATGACCAAAAGCATTCTGCCTTACTTCAAAGTCTTTTACCACAAAATTCAATTCACCAATTCTGATTAAAAATAAACAAAATTTCCGCCGTTTTAGCTGTCTTTATTGTCGACTTTTGACACCTTTTAATCTATGGAAAAACTTTATCTTTTTCACAAATTTCAACTTTTTGCAACAATGAATGTTGACATAGTTATATCTTAAAGTGTTTATGACAAAAAATTTCGACAAATTGCTTTTTTATTGCACGGTATAGGCCATATAAAATGACTTAACAAATTCTTTAGTAGAAGTGTGTTTTTTTATTTCTCTTTGAAGATATGCAGCAGCTCTTTATTATGCAAATGACATCATTATGACATCAAATTGCTTATTAAGTACTATGAAAAATTGGTTCTTTTGACACTAAGCATTAGTATGTCTTACTTTGTCATCTTTGCAGATACTCATTTACATAGTATTCATTAAACTGTTGTATTTATTTATAAAACCTAATGTCAAAAATTCACGTTCTTTAAAATGTCGTTATGATGTGGGATGTCATAACGATGTTATTTGCCTAAAGAAAAAAGTTAAATATCTCCAGAAGAAAGTACCATAAGTCAATTGTACTAAAGAGGTTATAAAGTCGTTTTTATATTTTCTACCCAATACAATCAAACAAATCTGTGATAAAATTTCGTGTCACAAACACTTTGAAACCTCGGAAGCCGGTGGTGCAAGTGAAAGAACGCTTTTTATTGATTTTGATACCTAACCACTTAACCTTAATTGATGCATCCCTTTTCAACAATCACACGAGTATCACTCTCAATTTAATACCTACAACTGTCTACGTCTCCACATTTTTATTTTTCCTTCATCATAAAAATCAAGTAAATCTTTTACCGTTTCCTTTTAGCGACAAAATTTCGATCGATTTTCAGGTAGTGTAAGATACTTCATTTGATGTTATAATAAAAATCGATGATTGCCTTTCAATGGAGTGGAATTGCTCAGACTTATCCGTCTTCAAAAACAGGACTCTGACATCTTTGGCAAGTTAATATTCAACAGTTCAACGTCCACCTGGTCGATGAGGTAAGATGAAATTTTGCGCCTCAGTAAACATGAATTTCATGAAGTCCTTTTTCCACTAAGATTGTTTTTCGTTTGAAAATGCGCCAGTCTTTTGTTTTGTGTCATGAAATGTATGGGAAAATTAATTGAACGTGGTTTAAATCTTCTCAAAATGGTAATTCAGTTGAAATTACTATTTCGGATCTATAGGATTTTCAAACATCAGTCATAAAACGTCGGAGGCGTTCCGCACCTGAAACTGAGGCATTTGAAAATTGAGAAATTTTGAATTTCAGAGACTTGAAAATGCCGTTTTCAGCGTTTTAGAGCAACACAAAATGTATTTTGTGGGCATCGTTTTTGCGTAAAAACAACACATTTTGCTTTCGTTTTAAAAAAAATGAAGTGAACAATACTTGAATGTTTTGCCAAATATCTAGCCTCGTTTATCATGCCAAATATATGAATCATTAGCATGTCTAGGAACGTAAAAATTTATTTTACAATAATGCTATTAAAAACAGATATAGTCTTTAAAATTTCTACCAAGTTGTCAGGCATAATCCTGTTCTAGATACGATTCATTCAAACCCTATGTAATGGTTAGTTTAGAAATTTGGTACTAAGTGACAGTTCATAGATGTAGAAAAGCTCAGGACTTCAAACTATGCAAGTTTATTGTTACTCCCTACCCATCTCACATCACTGCCAGCATCACCTTTTGAGAAAAACTCAAATTTTTTCCTGCTGAAGATTGCCAAAAATTATCAGAGTGAAAATTTGTAGTTAAGGACATTAATGCCATAAATGTTTATTAGGTATTTCACTAGACTATTGATCTCCTGTAAGTATATGCAAGGTGTGCTATATAGCAATCACTAGTAGCATTGTATTTGGTAACATAAACAGAATGTAACAAACATGTCTTTAATTATATAATTACATGAATGTTAAAATTGGTTCATGTGTCATGCTTACTGGTTATGATAAATATCTTTCATATGATCAAAGCTCGTTTAAATGTAAATCTGAAATAACTTAGTTTAGAAATTATAATGATCATCTGAAAAATTACCTAGTGATCATGAAAATACTTGGCTTTTGCCAAATTTCAAGGTTTATCTGCATACATTGGAAGACATTTTTACTTTATAGAAAATGCTATTCATACATCAATAGCCCTTGGAATTTATGGCAAACAATCTGGTATGAGCCGTAGATTAACACACCTTTACATCTCTACATGAGGTGTTCAGTTAGAAAAGGGACAATATGTGACATGCACAACATTTCATGAATGTGAAATACTCAGGTTTAATACCATTCCAGTCAAATTGTCAAAAATAAAAGCTTCATGGATCAAGGCACTCCAAAATCAACAGGTTATAGTAAACAGCTTCTCATGTAATCAATGTTAGTTTTCTCAAATCTTAAAACAATAGTATAACTGTCCAATGATTGAATGATCAATGATCATAACCGAAAAGCCCCAACATTTTGTTTGATAAAGTAAATAAAGTATGGCGCCCAAGGTTACAGATTTTGTCCATTGAAATATATTTGCAGGTTCTAGATTTCTGCCATATAACAGTAACGATTCCCCAAGCACTAAAGAGTCCTTCGTCAACAACAATTTTAGAAGCATCAATCTGCTTACCACGCTATATTGACATAACACACTTGCTTAAATTGACTTTGATATATATAACATCATGCATACACTTCACTTGTCCTTTACTTACGATTTTGATGTGAATTTCTGCAGATAAACTCAAACAATGTTGGCTTCTTTGAAACACCAATGACTGAAATGTCGCTCGCACGATCGTCTTTGCCAAGCATTTACATTTATCCATAAATTTTTCACTCTTGAAAAAATTCACAGTTTGAAAGCAGCATTCATGCTCAATATATCAATTTGAAAAGATTTCCATAAATTCCATCTGATTGTAGTTTAGTTTCTATCATGTTTATAAAAATTATGAAAACGATCAAATATTCAATTCAGACAGTGAGCTTGACTATGTTATTCAGTTGACTATCAGTCGAAATCCGTCAAACCAATCAGCAATAAAACAAAATTCAAATAAACCAATTGTAAGATAGCAATTGACTCCCTTATACGTCCGGCCACCCCTATTATCAGTCGAGACCATCCTAGACTGCTGTCCACTGATCTGGCCATTGACCAATAAAATGCTTTTTGGCGTTCATAGACTCCTTTATCCGTCGAACCAGTCAAGCCACCCGCTTATCAGTCGGTTATTCCAGGCAATTAAAATTCAACGTATCTGGATTACCGACGAGATATTCTTTGCATTTATCATTAGTTTTCAATAATAAATGTGGATTTTTATCACGAAGTAAATGCGATAAGAAATTTAGAATAATTAATGAATTTTTAATTATTATGAATTGGTAGAATTTTTGAATTTTAAACATCAGTCGCGCGACGATTTGACATACCTAGATCCGCCCCTTGAAATTACTATTTCTTTCTATGAAATTTTGTGGGCAGACCCACGGGCACTCAAACAATCAACTTGCAAAGGGCACCATGAACGGTGGTATTTATGAAAATAAAGATAAAAATATAGGTTTATCTTTGTGCAAATGAAATTCTGTTCTGATAGTATTTTTGAAAAACTCTAATTTCTATATACAAGTTAAAACCAATAAATATTGTGTTCTGTTAACGATTTTTAAAAAAGGTTTATGTTCTTAGATTTAGGGGGCACCCCATCCTTGGAAGTCATGAGCAGCCTGGCTCAAACTACTCCTCGTAACTGAGAAATGTGTTTATTGTGAAAATTGTTATATTACACTATACAAAAAGACAATTACCATAATCTTGTATTAATAAAGAAAATTAAACCATTAATTTATATTAGTCGTTATATGCATGGCGTTTGATTTATTAATTTTGAAAGTTGATTTTTACAGATAATTGTCGATGGTACGAGAAACTGTATAGACGAGGTTTGTGTCACAATATACTGTAATCGCACTTACCAAGAGATGAACTCTTACTCATGACTGCAACGATGTTCCATTACATAATACATAATGTATATTAAAATAATCATAATTTATGGAGTCTGAGAGCGAATCAGCTTGTAAAAGATTAAGGTAGCTGTGAATCTAAAATAGTTATATTCGACTAACTCATGCATTTTCTTCCTTTCTATATTTTTCTGTTTTCTACAATGGGAATTTTTCTACGTTTTGTCATTTGAGATTGCCTCGAAAGTTATGGACGTGGATGATGTGCAAAATGACCAGTGACAGGTCATGTTTTTTCTGATAAAACGAAACGTCTCGGTTTCTACGAAGTATGCATTTAAGTGACGCGGAATTTGTCTGCTTTCAATCGAAAGAACTTTTGAAACTGTGATGGACATCTTCGAGATTTTTGAGTGATTTGTCGTAGCGAATGCAAAGTAGTATTTTAATTAGAAACATTTTATTCTTTTTAACTTGCTAAAATTTTCATCCAATGTTACAGTTATTTCATCAATTTTCCTAAATTTTACACTTTGCTGTATTATTTACAAATACATGAAACTGTTTGGTTTATCGTTAATGATGCAAAAACGACAGTTTCAAAATCAAAACAAAATAGAGGAAGGTTCTGCAATCTGTCTTAAAAGAGAAACCAAGAAATCTTATGAGAAAATGTCATTACAGTGTTAAAGTTTGTAAAAGTTTGAATTAGAAAATAAATAAATTTTCTATCATGTTTGAGGTGTCTAAATATGGCTGATGGCCGATATAGAAAAAAATTGCTTGATATTGAAGCATTTCCAATCCTTGAATTTGCAGATAGCCGAGAATCATCACATCAAGAAATGAGCGAAGGTGATCTTCTGTTGGCTTAGTATCCTGAACAAGAAAAGTAGATGTCCGATTTGTATTTTGTACCAGTGAGATTGTTTTAGGTGTAGGATTAATACAGGGATCTATTACTGACAGTGTCGACAGGTAGGCACCCTTCCTAATTATAGCTAGAGAGTAAGGCTGGAGGAATTTCAATTTCTATTCGAAATATCAAATCCATAAGCAATTGAGCCAGAGGAGTAGATTTGTTTTAGCGAAGCACATCGTGCAAAAAATGTCTCCTGCTAAAGAATTTAATAAAAAATGTTTAACATGTCATGACATCTACTAGGGTAGCCACTGAATCCAATCTTATATTATGACCAATAATATGATCAGTAATTTGTTGACATTATGGGAGTGCCTATTTTATTCACATTTGAGAACCTACGACCAATCAAATTGCTCTGTTTCAGGGAGGTTTTGTGACAAAGCAATCCGACAGTTCCGGAGGATTGTATGCTATCAGTATCCTTTTGGTCTTTTTCGTCAGAAATATGTAGTTTGTGAAATTCATTTATTTATTTCTAAACGGAAGTGCTGTTGATTTGACGATTTGTTTAAAAATATTTGAGCATAGCGTTTGAAATTCTTCAATAATACGAATTTATTACAGTCTTTTTAATGAACATTTGAAAATGCTTTTACGTAGTCCTGATGTAAAAATCAATTAAACTATGGCCAACTTATGATTTTATATCGTTTTCAAAAAATTACAGTCAGAATTGAGAATTGTTCATGTGTTTTATACAGTGGCGTAACGAGCCTGCAAGTCTTCATCCTGTGTGTTTTATTTCTAGAAGTTTGTTATTTTTATAGTTATGAACACCAAAGTATTTTACACAGCACGACCAAACTTGGGGCTTGATTCGTCACTAGTTACCAGCGTTTTGTGTTTTCTCCCTTGACTGTGTCCTTTAATACGAAGACATAAAAATATACTACACGCTCTCTCTCTTGCCTGCATCGAGTCCATTATTAAAAGAGAATTTAGGAGCAAAGTCGTTTCGAATCTTCAACTGTCTAAGAATGAAGGGATATTTAGAGCAGCAACAGGTGAATTTCTCGAAATTAAAAGAAGATTAATTTTCAAATGTTTTTTTCTTTCTCTCAGTTTTCCGATAAACAAACTTTTATAACATTTTTTCAAGTACAGTGCGACTATGAACACCTTGAATTCTAACATATACTCTATAAAGTTTTGATTTTACTAAGTTTTGTTATCTCTTCCTTTTACCTTGCTAACTGATGGTTTTAACTTAAAAACTTGAGAAATTATCGAATACCATGTCACATAACAACATTATCTGCAAATTGGCCCCAGCCCTAACTTTATTCCTAATCATAACGTAGTTTGATTGTTGTTGCCAGTCCTTAAGGTATGATATTCTGTAATTATGCCTCAAAAATATTTTGGTCGCGGATGTTTGAAACTTTCTTTTAATTATTTTGTATAATAGTTTTTGTTATAAATTAGCTTAAATTACAAAGGTTTGAGTGAAAATAACCATCTAAAACTGTTCATTACACTCATTTACCTGTTTGTAGACGTAGATCGTTAAGGTAAGTGCAGTCCTGTATATGGTACAATTGGTGTTTGTATTGACTGGCGTTTGACATTCTTAGTGGTAGACGTCTTCACAGTCAAGTGTGAACATTATGTCAGGTTCGCTATATTTGTAGTCTGGTTCATACGTCATGGTTTTTATTTAGAGGTGTTTTATTGGCTATTGTGTATTGACGTACAAAACAGACAAAATCCGGTAACTTTTCACCTTGACTTGACTCAGAATATCAAATTGTCAGTGTACACCAACATCAACAGTCTTTCTGCAACTCGTCTAAGGGCCTGTTTATATGGAGCCGAGTTACTCGGCTGAGCTGAGTTATCGCTGCCGGGTAACTCAGCCCTTATATAAAATGAATGCATTTCCCGGTGAATCAGGTATCACATCCGAGTAACTCGCCTTGCCGGGTAACTCGGTTTAAGCGAGTTACCCGGCTAGGCGGGATGAATTTTTCCATATAAACGCATTTGCCGGGAAACTCGGCGAGACGAGAAAATTGGCTCTGTTTGGTACCCATGCGTACTAAGCCTTGTAATTTGCAGTATTATAATACAAAAACATACATATGTCATAATTTTCAATTTTATGTTCACCCATCCATTTTTAAGGCGAAACCGTGAGGCTTTTAAAATCTCGCGCCTTAACTCGAAGTTAGCATAGCAAAACTTCTACGAAGACTAATAAACGGAAGTGCTAGCCGAGTTACCCGGTGCCATATAAACAGATCACTTTGTCAAACCTGGCTAGGCGAGTAACTCGCCTAAACTTCATTTTTAGATTAATAAACAGAAGTGCTAGCCGAGTTACCCGGTGCCATATAAACAGATCATTTTATATCAAACCCGGCTAGGCGAGAATCGCTCAGCCGGGTAATCGGCTCCATATAAACAGGCCCTAACTTCGATGACTTACATCTGCAAACGTGTATAATGATACTTCCGGTTTAAACTATTTACGGAATTAAGTACCATGCTCTTCTTCGTGAGCATTTATCAATGAAGATCATGAACAACTTTATAGATCGAGGATTTTTGTATGATTCCATCGAAAGAAGCTAAAGAGCTTGTGTACGTTGGTGGAGGAAAATTTCGTCAATTTATTGGTTTGTCGCGTTTTGTGCGATTAGCAGAAACATTTGTGGTTGAACTTATGCTTTGGGCAAGACAGTTTTTTCCTTAGATGGGGATGCATGGAATATACTACAAAAGAGGATAGAATTGCTAAAAAAATAAGTATGGGTGTTGAGAACTTGAAAGACAATTAAGGATGTGTTGGTATAATTTCACAGGTGGTCCACTGCAATAGTGACTATGCCCCTTTAAGTACAGTGTATTATACATATTTGGAGGATTGGTTGAGGATGTAGTTATAAGTTTTTTTCATAGGAGATTCCTCGCAGTATTGAGCATGTCTCTTTAAGAACACTGTATTATATGGAGGATTGGTCAGATATGCTGACTACGCTCCTTCAAGAACGCTGTATTTATTTGGTGTTAATGTGCCGCAAGTTTGTCGAATGTTATTGGATAAAATTTATACGGTAATGTGAATTATTATTTACGTCTGGGATCCCGGGGAATGACTACTTTTGAATTATATGCACTGGGAAATAAGTGCCCATTATACAATACGTTTATCTTTTTTTCGAAGGTTCATTCTTGGCCTAAAATTTCGTGAGGTTAATGATGATTTCTTGTCATTCTTAGTGTTTTTCCTTTAGATTTTAGCGAACATTAAGATACGTCAGTGTGAGGAAAGTAAGCAGGAAACGTAGGTATTAATTATATTTCTTAATTAATTTATATACTACAGGAATATATCCGATGATTTTGTATGTGTGTTGGGGGATAGTTTTGTAGTTTAGTTTTACAAGATGCCGTTCGGTCGTAATGTAGTTTGTAATGCATTTTGGTGTTTGCCGTTTGTTTCTGTTATGTCAATCACATGTTAGAGTTTTTGAGGGTTTGACCCTGGACTATGGAAAATGAATAGTTTGGCTTTTGTTTTAGCTTAATTGTTTGGTATGTTAATATTTTGTATGGAAGTTTGTATCCTTTTTTCATCCCTTCTAACCAAGTCTATGGGGTTGTGCATCTCCCCCCCTTACACCACTCCAGAAATCCATCCCTTGTATAGTATGAAAAATTCCATCTGCTTGTTTCCATGCGCGATCCAAGATAGACACACGAATCAATGGTGAAGTGTTGTTTCTTTTAAGGCTTCTTCCCACTACAAGAGTTGTATTGTTTGTATTTGTATTGTTTTCTGCATTTCTGCATTATAATCATGTGTGATTGGGTAGAAAGGACACATGAGTATCTAGACGCCATTTTGTTCCAAAAGTGAAAATTGTAACCATCTTTTAGATAGGAAATAAAATATAAAAAGTTTTTACAATGATTTCATGTTGCGTTTTATAGTGCAAATCAAAGCAATGAACATAGAAATCTACGCGCCCCTTGTGGCAAAAACGTATTAAAAGCGTGTTAATTACATCCACTGCGTTAAATACATGCTTTTCTATTATTATGACATCTATAAACAACTGAATTCCAAAGATGGTGATCGCTGTCTATTCATAAATGAGAAAAATATAACCAAAGTTGGTCTTTCCACCTTTAATGCTCTTTATTTGCTGGCTTTTGGAACAAAATGGCGAACGCTGAGCAGTTTTACTTCCGGTGTTCAAACTCGTTTTGATGTAAGTACTCTGGTGTTATTACTGGCATGTCTTGATTTTGATGTAAAATTCAAGCTTTTAGCTAATACTTTTCGTTTCACCTCGCTGAATGCCCTTGAAATGCATAAACCATAAATTACAAACTACGCATTTTCATTCACTCTTTGTCGTGTTGTGCAAAGTTCTAAAATACACTCAAAATAAACTCTCCTCAGGCGATTGTTGGAAATCGAAAGATTGGAAGGAACGATATCATCGTTACAGAGTCAGGGTTTTGACGAGGATTCGCAGGCTGTGAAAGACATCAGAGAAATGATGACTGACTACGAGAAGGAAAGATTAGTGCGACTTGAGAATATCGTCAAAAAGTAAGTCTAAGTTGCTTGTTATACGTCCAAGTATTGCGTATTATAACTGTCTGTCTTGTGATAAAACTCCAATCTTGATATATTATTTTTTGCTTCATTTTAACTTGGAGATTATCAGAAAAGGGGGAGGTGCAACAAAAGGCCTGAGGCTGCATAAATTTTTATGCAAAATTGCAAGAGCATACTAATTCATGCAACACATGCTTTAATATCAACTTTTCAATCCGATATGGGTTTTTTGTGTATGAGATTGAATTCCCAGTGATTTTTGACTTCAAGAGACTGAGAAAAAAATATAGGTGGTTTTTTTTGCTACCTTTTCAGCTACAGGTTATGAGAAAAGGGAATAAAATGACCCCTAAATCTAGGAGTGATGGTTACTGCATCTTTGAGTTAGTAAATTATGTTGTAAATAATTACTAAGTAAATTTTGTTTGACTCAGAACAATATGCTGAGGCTTTACATGCCATCCACTCAGATTGGATCACATAACGTTCCTTCACTTTTTGTACTTTTAAAGCTGTCCCCCTTCTTGTTTTTATTTTTGCCGAATTACTAAAAATTCAATAGATACATTATTGAAATCAAACAAGAACATGGCGCGCAGATTTACATGTTAGAAAATTGACCTTCATGATGGAAGTTTGATTTGTCGCAAAAGTTTTGTTAAAGCCAGCAGCCCTCATTGAATTTTTTTTATAGAATGGAATTCAATTCCCCATAACTGTTGTGAAAATAACGCTTCGTGTGTTTACTACTATAATTATTTTATGTTTAGATGCGATCATGGCGAAATACAGGTTACAGAAACTCTTTTTGTATTTTCACAATTTGTTATTTTGACGTGATATCAAGGTGGCTGAATTCCGTGACAACGTCTTCCGCTGAACGATCTATTTATTGTCATAAAATTTCTTTGATCTGCTAGTGTGATCTTTAACCGTTTGTAAAAGGGAATTTAAATCGTCCCTCTATAATAATATTAACGTAGGGCCCATTTCATACCTCATATTTTACATACGCCAAAAACATTGAAGACAAAAGAAAATCAGATGAAATTCTTCATTATGTTTTGTTTAAATTTCAATCGGCTTATGTAATATGCGACGTTGAAAACAAAACATGTCTGATAATCGTAAAACAGTGTTCCTGTTTTTTAATAAAGTTGTAATAACTAAACAAAAAAAAATTACACAATTGCTTTGAGCCGAAAATTCCAATCATTTTGAAATGGTGATTACATGTCTGTTGTTTTAATTATCAGTTTTATACACAAATGTAGACATAAAGTAGACACAAGGTTGACATAAAGGTAGGCATAAAGTTAAACAGAAAGGAAGAAAATAATGTAGACACAAAGATAGACATATAGGTAGACACAATGGTTGACATAAAGACATAAAGGTAGACATAAATGTAGACATAAGGATAGACATAAAAGTAGACATAAAGGTGACATAAAGGTAGACATAAAGATAGACACAAAGGTAACATAAAGGTAGACAAAGGTAAACATAAAGATAGACATAAAGGTAAACATAAAAGATAGACATAAAGGTAGACATAAAGGTAGACATAAAGGTAGACATAAAGGTAGACATAAAGATAGACACAAAGGTGAACATAAAGTGAACATAAAGATAGACATAAAGGTGACATAAACGTGAACATAAAGGTGACATAAAGATAGACATAAAGGTGAACATAAAAGGTACACAAAGGTGAACATAAAGATAGAACAAAGGTGACATAAAAGCAGACATAAAGGTAGACATAAAGGTGGACATAAAGGTGAACACAAAGGTGGACATAAAAGAGAGACATAAAGGTGATAAAGGTGAATAAAGAGACATAAGGTGAACATAAAGGTGGACATAAAGGTAGAATAAAGGTGAACATAAAGTAGACATAGATGACAAAGTAGACATAAAGGTGAACATAAAAAAGGAGACATAAAGATAGGCACAAAGGTAGACATAAAGGAACATAAGATAGACATAAAAGTAGACATAAGCAGAACAAAGAGACATAAAGATGACATAAAGGTGACATAAAGGTAGACACAAAGGTGAACATAAAGATAGACACAAAAGGTAGACATAAAAGCAGACATAAAGGTGAACATAAAGGTGGACATAAAGGTGGACAAAGAGACATAAAGAGACATAAAGGTAAAGGTAGAAGGTGACATAAAGCAGACAAAGGTAATGGTGGACATAAAGGTAGACATAAAGGTGAACATAAAGGTAGACATAAAGGTGAACATAAAGTGACATAAAGGTGACACAAGGTAGACAGGTAGACATAAAGGTGGACATAAATCATAAAGGTGAATAAAGACATAAAATGACATAAAAAGGTGACATAAAGTAGACATAAACGTAGACATAAAGTGACATAAAGTTAGACATAAAAGTGACATAAAGATAGACATAAAGGTACACTGCGTAGTTGAAGAGACCAGAAATTGTATAGAACGCCGTATAAGACTATTTACGGCGGTTTCTCGTCACTGTTTATATCCTCCACACAATATTTGAGGATGAATGTTGCTACGTCGTCAATTATGCAATCAAATTGAAAAAGTATGAAGAAATGGTTGATAACTTCTAGCCGTCAAAGGATGGTACAGAAAGCCAGAAATATGTCATCCTCTCATTTAACTAGAACAAGAGCCTCTTGTGTTGAACTAATATTCACAAAATCACAGCAGCCTCTAAAAGAGATCTTTAACTTATTTTTTATAAGGAAACGTGCTGCACGTCAAAGATTTGTGCAAGCATATTTCTCTCTATGGGTTTCCTAGAAATTACTCCAAAGCTAGTTACTACATATGTATTCCTCATTTATCACCAGTAATAACATCTTTCATTTCTAGTTTCACTCTTTGCATGTCTTAATTTTATGATAATGTTTCTTCTTTGTTGCGCAATATCATAAGCTCGAAAGTCTTGTATAATCTTGCTTCGAGACCATTATTGGTAAATTTTATTTTTGCATTAATTACTACAAAATAGGAATAGTAAGTTAAATTGGTCATTTATCTGCAACGAACTCTTTGGTCTCTTGAAAAGACACAACCTGTCGAGGCTGCAAAGTGGAGGTTCAAACCCTGTCTGGAATAAGATGTAGGCTATAACATGAGCTAAGAAACAGGAATATAGTGCTGCTCAATAGTACGAAGATAGCATTTCTATGATAAAGTTTTCAAGAATGGTTTCCGACACTGTAATTTCAGAAAAAACCCGCTCTCCGCTAAGGAACAAGAAGAAGGAGGAGGAGGAGAGCGAAGGAAAAAGATACGATCCCATGCAAAAAACTACTCTTAAAAAACTAAGTGTTTTGATCATTATTTTTATGACTCGCTATGATCGTAGGGAGATATTATTGTAAGTTTTAATAGTCAGGAATTTAAGAGCAAACAGAACGCTATAATTTTCCTCTTCTTACCTCCAGACATTCGTTCCTCAGTTCGACTTTCTGTCGTCCACATCCGCCTCGTACACCTAAGTGGTGCGAAACAAGGATCTTGTGCACAGGAGGTCAGTGATGGCAAGTCAAGCTAAGTACTCAACATCGAAAGCATTCAGTTTTTTGGCGTATTTAATCCTTTTTTTAAGTTTAAGGGGAAGAAAACGAATCGGTCAGAACCGGAGACGGTGTAATCCTTAAATCCGTAACTGTACCACTCAGTATTCAAAATATTTTAACTCGAAAAATGACAAAGTGAAAAGGACAAGATTTGAAACCAAAAGGTGTGATCACTGCACCGGCAACTGTACCGCTTGGCCAGACGAGAAACATGCAAACCTTGTCACAACATGTCAAGTGGTCCAGAAAGCAACATTCATTGCCTTCCATTATCTAATGTTCACAAAATATAGTATGTTTCATTAATGTTTTTTACCATGATTGCAAAGGAAAAAAAGAGATTTACTTGGCGTCTCTGTCGAACTATAACTTTGCTAGACATTCATGACATCCATAATTTCAAGGAGGAAGATGAATAAAGTATATACAATGTCAGCCATTGCCATGTGGTGAATGATAGAGCAATAACGCGCATGTTCGTAGTCAATTTAATGGCGTTGCGAATCATTTAAATTGTTGTTTAAACTTACCAAAATATTTTTACCATCATGACAGTCAACACTTTTTTACGGGGGAATTGATGCTTCAGCGCTTACTTATGTCAGTTTGCAAAGCCATATGACTCGATAAAATATCGTTCACTTTTTTGTGGTAAGAAATCAAACTTATGTTTAAAAGCAACGTGGTCAATTTGGGACTAATTTTATCCAGTTACGTTGCGCTTCGGAAACTGAAAATATTTTGTTCAGCAAAACGTGTTTATTATTTTACTAGTGGCTTTGGTAATTTAATAGTTTGCCGTTGGGGATAATTCAACTTGTTTGTCTCATGTCTTCTCTTATGAAATGATGACGTTTTCAAATGTCGTTCATGTCGTGTCTAATGACTTTATTGACTATATTTGACAATACACAACATACATTTCGTGATTGTTTAAGAAACAAGTACATGACGTTTGCAAAAGTATTAAACACGTCTTTTTTGCTAAAAAATTCATGTCATAATGTCATCATGTTATCATGTAATCTTGTAATTATGCAGTCATTTTCGTCAAAAACGACATTTGAAAAAGCTCTATAAGGGTTAACATTTAACAGAAAGTCATCATTTTATAGAAGTTGTCTTTGCAACGTTCTTTGTTTTCTCTTTATGACTACCCTTACGTCTACCTTTATATGTCTACCTTAGTGTCTACCTGTGTCTACCTTTATGTGTACCTTTATGTGTACCTTTATATGTCTACCTTTACATGTCTACCTGTGTCTACCTTAGTGTCTACCTTTATGTGTACCTTTATGTGTACATTTATATGTCTACCTTTACATATCTACCTTAGTGTCTACCTTTATGTGTACCTTTATGTCTACCTTTATGTCTACCTTTATGTCTAGCTTTACGTCTACCTTTTTGTTCACTATTGTTGATATATTTTTCTCTAATTTTACGTCTACCTTCATATTTCTACCTTTATGACGAACTTCGTGTCTACCTTTCTGTTACTTTGTAAGTTTATGTCAACTTTGTGTTAACTTTTTGTCGATCTTTGCGCCTACTTTGTTTAATTTTTAATGTACCATTCCTTCTTTGTGGTATATATGTGATAAAATTGACAGTTAAAGGTCTCGAACTAAGATTATAGAAGAATTTTGAATGAGAGATAGTGCAGCACGTCAAAAATATATAATTATAAAAATAAGGCGTAAAAAATCTATAAAGATTGAATACGTAGTACAAGTCTGGTCATTGAGCTGCAATTTTTATATTGAGAATGACACATTTTTGGATTTACATTGTAACATGTTCAAGCAGCTAAGCAATTGTTCATTTTTCGAAAGAATTTCGGAAGTTGTTGAACAAATCATATGCTGATGTATAAGGAGCATCTTCACGTAATGTCATCTGTAGCATTGTCCGCCGTTAAACTAGCTAATGGACCTTTGTATAGGTGATGCATTTCTTTGTCGTTCAGACGTTGAGGACCATTGTTTAGAAATAACGTAAATATTTCAACAGTCATACTACCCATTTGAATGACATGATTGATGATGCCAAGAACTTGTGAAATGATCAACCACATGTTCACACTTTTTTCTTTTGCATACCATATTTCACGTTAGTCTTTATTTCTTCAATGTGGCCATGACATATTAAGACTGATCCGAACCCCAAGCTTTTCCTTAACATAACCTGTCCTGTGACTGTTGTTGTTGAGAGTATTTGTGGCAGTGTATTCTATATTTGTGATGGGAGCGATTTGAAAAAAAAACAGAGCCATTCAAAAGATGCAATCTTACATGAAAAAATAAAAAGACTCTATTCGTACGCGGTGTCTAAAAAAACACGCTGTTCACAGCAATATTTAAATCACACGATAGAGATTGTCTAAGGATTTGAGTTTTAAATACAATCTCTTTTCAGTACTAATCAGTAAGGCAGAGCTAAGTACTATAATATTCACAACCCTCAATTGGCGTTTTACATTAGCACGGTGCTTATACAACAATGTCAACAGTTTTCAAACATAATTACTGTAAATTTACCATTTTATTCTTTTTCGTGCAAAGTGTGGAAGATTATTTAATAGTTTATGCTTCATCGACATGTAACTTTAATATTTCGTCTATAACCATAGTAAGTTCTGTATATTTTAACTCTCCAAGCGATGTTTGAATGGAGAAACTTTGACTTGATGCCGTCAATCGTCCGTTCTTTAATCGTAGATATGATAAAGCGATCGCTTGCGCGCGAATTTGAGACGGTTCATTACAATTTCAACGACGCAGGAGTTTTTACAAAGCGGAACATTAATAAATGGACGGCTTGACAACTTTTAAAGTTCGAAACTTTCGTGTTTTTAAGTTTCAAAAAAACGCCCTGTGTTATTAAAATGTCTTCTATGGTTTCTTAATAATTAATAGATAATATTCAGTATTCTAATACCTGTAACTTATGCAACAAAAATAAAGCTGTAAATGGAATCATTCATTATATCATGCATTCTTCTGTACTGAAGATGGCATAAGAGGGCCGAAACATGTTTACTTTACAAAAAAAATCGTTGTTCATTTGATATGTTTATTAAAATATATTTTATGAGTAGACATTCAGCCATTTTACTGCACCAGAGTGATCAGACAATCACAGTACAAAAAGTACACTTCAGAAATTCTTTTACAGAGTTTTCGTAAAATCGGTGTAAGTCATTCATTCGCCCCGAGGTAATGCCACTCCCCCAAATTTTCATTACAACTTATTATAAAATACTTCGAATGTTCAGATGAGAGAGAGGGAGTTGCTTCCGTTATTCTGCATGGGCACAAACTTCAAACGTTGTCAAACCTTTTGTACATTTTTTCTCAAAATATTTAATCCAAATATACATTACGGATGAGTGGGAAATTTAATTAATTATTGTCGTGACTTTTTGTGATATACTACCTCCGTGTGCAGTATCATGCATGTCATTGTTCAATAAGCCGATACGCATCATCTTTAAGGTAATCTAACAAAACGGAAACATAATTCAGATAGACATGTTTGATTTTAGAATTTGTCAAATCGACCGATGACTTGACGCGTCAATGTAATATACAACGACTTCATACGACAACAATTTCACGTGACCAGACTCACCATGTGACATATTCAATACTTGCTTAAGTCTCTCTAGTTCGGCCTTTTCTCTCAGGTTTTGCTTTATCTGCTCCTGTAGAGAGCGTTTTCTCTTCCAACGCTTTTATTCTTGAAAAGAGATGTAAAAATCTTAGGAACATAGAAATCCGCGATTTGGTGTAATTCACCCTTCGGTGTGAATCTATACCAGAAACTTCGAATAGAAAGTGAAGTGCTGCGAAATGTGGGTATCAATTTTTATAGTACCAACGTTTCATAAACATCAAGGGTATTGTTTAAAGGGTATCTGACCTTAACACAACTTTCGCTCATATGAAAGTATATATTGTTCTTACCTCTCGCGAAATCCTAGGTTTCCAATTCAAATTTAACTCGAGAAATACTGCTTAAATGTGTGTATTTTTCGATCGCCATTCGGCATGTACATGCAAGCGAAGCCGCAGTCCAGCAGCGGTTTCGTCGTGACGTCGCGCGGTGATCGTTGTCAGCATAAGACAAAATATACTAGCAAAGTAGAAATTACGCATAAGCATATTCATCGTTGCATTTTATTTTCTAAGTTTTTAAATTATTTTGCGCAATGGATACGGATTACTCAAACGATTCCTCTAGTAATTATTCTGGAAGCAGTGTTTCAAACTACGAAAAATGATTAACGATCAAAACATGATTCAACCATATGCTTATGAGCCGATTGAAACAGACTCTAGCGACGAGCCTATGGACGACTCCGACGAAGTTCAGCTGTTGTAACAATAAATGAAGACTCAGCACAATTTGAGGGAATAGATACTCCGACTGTATTACAGATAATCCTGTTTTCGAAATCTTTGTTTTTATTGGGTATTACGACTGGCATGGAGTGAGTACAAACAACACTATGGTTCAAGAGCTGAAGATATGTGAACACAGGACGACAGACCAACATTGAACAGGTTAATTCAGTGTCTGGTCAGGTCTGTCTGTGATAGTATGAAGCAAACTATTATAGCCATATTTATAAGTATCGTTAATGATGAATTATTAATAAATAAAATATAAATTGGATTTAGTAAATGAACAATAAATACAAATTATAATGGCAAACCAAATAATTCTTTTATTTGTGCTATGCAAGGATTTTGGTGTACATAATTAAAAGTGCCTTTGCTAATGAATTGCATAGCAAAACAAAAATGTTGCTACTTTACTATTAGAGAGAGTCTCTTATTATTAATTATAAATATTGATATATACATAACTATTTTTGGGGACTGTTTTACCCATTCTTGATTTGTGTGCTTGTAAAACACTTTCTTTGTTTGGCTTTCTATAGGGTAATATTTCTTGGAATGTTTGCTGGTAAAGAAATCTTGTTATGTACATTTTTACATTAAAACAGCAGACATCTTCCATCATACCTTGCACAAAAGAATATGACTTACTCACCATAATTGGCTTGGCTACCCAATTTTTTCGCCCTTTTGGGAACACGATATTATATCCAAACAAAGAAAGTGTTTTACAAGCACACAAATCAAGAATGGGTAAACAGTCCCCCAAAAATACTTATGTATATACCAATATTTCTAATTAATAATAAGAGAATCTCTAATAGTAAAGTAGTAAAATTTTTTGTTTTGCTATGCAAATTCATTAGCAAAGGCACTTTTTAATTATGTACACCAAAATTCTTGCATGCATTCAAATAAAAATTGGTTTGGCTTGGCCATTATAATTTGTATTTATGTTCATTTACTAAATCCAATTTATGTTTTTATTTATTAATAATTCATCATTAACGATACTTATAAATATGGCTATAATTAGTTTACATTACCATTATTCATCAGCGAATATAAACCCGCATAGACAAAGTCCTCTTCTGACCTGGTGGTTGGAAATGTGCTCGAATGTAGCTAACAGCAAAAGATAGTAGTGGTACTCTAATTTCCTTGCCCAATACATTCCAACACCATCGAGACCAGTTGCCTGTAAGCCACATGTCTTTGTCTTTTTGTGTTCAGGTCCTTCTTCAGCTCTTGAACCATAGTGTTGTTTGTACTCACTCCATGCCAGTCGTAATACCCAATAATTTAAACAAAGATTTCGAAAAACAGGATTATCTGGCTAGTCGGAGATCTATTCCCTCAAATTGTGCTGAGTCTTCATTCATTGTTACAACAGCTGAACTTCGTCGAGTCGTCTAGGCTCGTCGCTAGAGTCTGTTTCAATCGGCTCATAAGCATATGGTTGAATCATGTTTTGATCGTTAATCATTTCTTCGTAGTTTGAAACCTGCTTCCAGAATAATTACTAGAGGAATCGTTTAGTAATCCGTATCCATTGCGCAAAATAATTTAAAACTTAGAAAATAAAATGCAACGATGAATATGCTATGCGTAATTTCTACTTTGCTAGTATATTTTTGTATTTTATGTTGACAACGAATCACCGCTGTGACTGCGGCTTCGCACATGTACACAATGGCGATGAACAAGAGGCGAAAATACACACATTTAAGGCATTATTTCTCGAATTAAATTTGAATTGGAAACCTAAGTTTCGTGAGAGAGTAAGAACAATATACACTTTCATATGAGCGAAAGTTGTGTTAAGGTCAGACTACCCCTTTAAGCACTATCTTCGAGTTAAATGTAATATTTACTAACATTTCTATTTAAATAGAGGTTCGCATTTCTCTAGATATTTTCTGACGTTTTAAATACGTTGTATGTGAACTAATACGTTGTGTATGTGAGATCCTTGGTTTAATAATACGGCTGAATTATTTTATAATGATTTGATTCTTAAGAAATCCGTGCAAAGTATTACACGTTGTTTAACGTTTGTCCCACAGTAAGAGATGCTCATTAATGTACCGTTAAGACTGAAAGAGATGCGTAACATGAAGAATATTGAATGGTAACCTCTGTTCTGAACAAATCCACATGTAGAACTTGAGTGCAGACCATGCATTTACACAAATGTTTGTGAAGAAATAACGCACACTATATGCAAAAGACGATGGTGGTGGTGCACATTTCGAAGATTGTTCGATGTAGAATGTTCCGAATACTATAAGAATATTGTATTTCTAAAAATAGCAAATGGTGTTTAGGTTAAATACCACGGTACACGACAATACAACAAAAAGAAAAAAGCCAAATTCAGTCACGTAGTGTGTAATCTAACAGTGAAACAACACAATTTATCTGTTTCATCTGCTTACGAGGTAACCAAAATTGATGGATGATTTATAACTCTGAAGAATTGAAAAGCATCGCCCAAAGAAATGAAAGAAGAAACAAATCTATAGAAAAAAAAAGGAAAACAAGCTGATGTTATTCATAAATATTTTTAAAACATACGTAAAATTAAAACTTATTTATTCATGAAAAAGTAAAAACCAAACATAAATATCTTAGCGTGCGTGCAATATGTAAAACGTTACTTGAATAGGCTGTGCAACAATAAAAGCTATAAAAGGTATCCATAAAACCGACCTAAATTGATGGCGTCATCAAACCTAAATGACGTATTCCAAAACTGAACCAGAATTAACGAGAACTTTACGGCGGTGAAAATAAATCTGTCAGACATACGTTCTCACTAGAAATTCTCAAAGAATTTCCAAAATTTATCTTGCGCTATACTAATACAAGAGGACAATTGTTAAAACCATATACCCTCACTTCGTCGATAACTTTCTCAATCTCGTCTAACGTGACGTC